TCTCAGGAAGGGCAGAGGCTGTGGGGAGGTAAACTGAGTTCCATGACTGTCACACTCTCTCTGTCCTGTGTCAGGTGGGAGGCAGGACGGGCAGGGCCAGCTTCCCGTGTGCACTGGCAACACATCAAACCAACCTCACCGGGGAGAAGGTGGACCCCTCTTTGGGAAGCCCTTCCTTCCCCGCTCTTGCATGGTATTTCCTATAATTTTTTTAATGAAAAAGAGAAAAAGAAAGGGAAAAAAATGAAATTGAGGGGAAAAAAAACCCAGGAGGCAAAAAAAAAAAAAAAAAAAAAACCCAAAAAACTTCACTGAAACAGTTTGGGGATTTACTTTTTTTAATCCTCAGAAAGTCCCTCCCGCTACCTGGTTTCTAAAACAGACGATAAACACAAGATGACATCAGGTTGGATGGCACCGGGCGCCTCATCGCCAGGGGCTCCGGCAGGTGTGAGACTGACAGGTGGAGAAAAGATGACACTATTTCTATCCTTAGAAGATGAAAACCAAGCGGGAGAGATGACAGAAGAGGCTGAGTGCCGGGTGTGGCGGGAAATCCGACACCCGCCTCCCGCTGGCCTTTTGGGTGAACTCTGCTTGTCTAGATAGGGCGACGGGACGGGTGGGTGGGTGTCCCCCACCTCTCAGGTGTCAGAGTGCAACTCACCCTGGGGCTCAGAGAGCGAGGCTGCAGCGCTCTTCGCTGCACGGAGCCCCCCTGGACTTTGCAGACTGCATTCTGAAACCAGCTTTGGCGGCAGTGGCTCAAGCTTGCGGGGCGCGAGGGGCTTTCTCCGCGGCACATGTCCCGCACATAGTGTCCGTCCGAGGATGCGGCCGACCAAGCCGCGTCCAGGGCACCGAGAGTGCAGGTGCCAGAAAGGAGCAGCCCCACCCCCAGCGGCTGGCTCAGGGGGCCCGAGTGAGTCATCAGGCCTGAGCAGTGACCATGATGTCCCAGGGTGAGAAGTGGGAGGCCTGGGGACGGAGCCCGCTGCACAGACGCAAGCCACGGTGACTCACATTTGGACCCTGAGGGTAAGTTCCATCTGCGAGTCCTCTGGATGGCTCCTGTCCCCCGGGTGACGTCATCCCCACTGCCGCTCAGAACTAGGGCTCGCTTCTTTCTCCCAGGGCCCCGGCTTTTCCGTCTCAGTTACGGTCGTGGCAGAGAGCCGCGTCTTAGCCACAGCCCACCTCTGCCTCCCCCCGCACCCCCCACACCCATGCATGATGGATGGACCTGAGGAAAGAGCAGGTCCTCCCTGGGTGTCAGGCTTTTTCATCCATAAAAAAAGAGCTCTTCCTGCCTATGATCTCATACAGGAGCCTCTGGGGCGAAAAGGCAGTGACTACGATAACTCTGATAGGAAGTATCCTTCGTCAAGGCAAGTCGGTGCCACCGTATCATTCCTGTTGATGATGCCCGCCATGTGGACCCGACCATCGGGCTACCATCTTGCTCCATATCCCTGGGCCATCTGTCCGGAAGGAGAGGAGTGCACGGCTAAGGGGAGGACAGTGTCCCCAGCAGAGTCGGTGCCCGGGAGCCCGGCGAAGTCGTTCAGAAATACACTGAAGCGGGGCGCCTGGGTGGCTCCGTCGGTTAAGTGTCCGACTTCGGCTCAGGTTATGATCTCACGGTTCGTGGGTTCGAGCCCCACATCAGGCTGACAGCTCAGTGCCTGTAGCCTGCTTCAGATTCTGTGTCCCCCTCTCGCTCTGCCCCTCCCCCACTTGTGCTCTGTCTCTCTCTGTCTCAAAAATGAATAAACAACAAAAAAATTTAAAAAAAAAAGAAATACACTGAAGCTTGGCCAGAACTACACAGGTATTCACGTCACTCCACGCATCGTCTTTTCCCTTCTCCAAGAGTGTACAACAGAGCACGTACATGTTTCTAAGGCTTCGTAGGGTAGGAGGAGGTCCTGGCCCTGGTCCCCAGCTGGCTCCTCCTCCATGTGCGCGAGCAACTGAGAAGTCCCCCAACATGGGCGCGAAGCATCCCCCTTACGGGCTTAGTTTTCAGTGCACTCAAAATCGCAGGGCACTAGCAAACTACCACCAAGACCAGGTCCTCACGGAAGCATTTTGAGAAAGACATGCCGTTTCAGGCGTGAGCTCTGGGGCACCCTGAGCCTGCCCCAGCCAGGTGGTCACTGAGACCCCAGGACAGGAAAGACAAACAGGGAATGAGGACATCCCTGCCACCGTCAAGCTCTCTCTGACCACAGGAGGAAGAGGAGAGGAAGCCAAGGGTGCTGGAGGGTGACAGGGCCAGGGCTGTGGGGAGATGACGAGGGGCGGCCTCCAGCTGCCCCACCCTCTCGGTGTCCCCTGAGGGCAGCCTGCCCCCCCCCCACGCCCTTTTGCAACTAGAACAGGGAAACGGGGGCATCTGGCCTCTCACCTCCCAGATTTCTTCCCCGGTGTCTTCTGTTTCCTCTTTCACTTGTCTCTGGTGCGGAGCCCACAGCCTACGGGTCCGATGCCCAGTGGCTTCAAAGGCAAGGAGGAGAGGAGACTGACCCTCACAGGAAGCACCACCCCTGTGCACGAGGCGATCCTACATCGGGCAGTCATGGCTGCTGAGGTTCAGCTCCTAAGAAACGGCCTCGAAGCTTCTCAGCTCATCCCCGCCTTAAACGTCACCCTGTTGTCACCTGTACGTGACGGGACAGGAACAGGCACCTCGACAGCCCTTTCTGATCGTGCTGCCACGCCTCAGCTGCTCTGCTCCTCAGTGTCCACAGCAGGCCCCAGGAAGCGGGAGCACAGCACACTTCTCTCAAAACCCTGCAGTGGCTCCCAGCGTCCTCCATGGGAAAGCCTGACGGCCCCCTGTGCTCTCGCTGGCCGGGGCCTCATTCCAGCCCCACGGATGCCCCTGTCCTCAAAGACACCAGGCGGGCAGGAGCCCCAGCCTTGACGGTGCTCTTCCTCTGCAGAAAACTCTTCCCAAAGTGTTTGCACGGCCGGCTCCTTCAAGCCTGTGCTCAGAGGTCCCCTCTGCGGTAAGGAGCCCTGCCTTATTCAACACTGCAGCCCACCCTCCCCTCCCCTCCCTGCACACGCGGCCTCCCTTCCCGCCTACATTTCCGTTGTTTTGCTAGATAATTAACATCTTTACTATTTTGCTGTTTATCATCCGTCCGTCCCCCACTTGGCGGCCAGTTCTGTGCGAGCAGGACAGGGCTCTCTGCCTTGATGTCCTGGCGCAGAATGGGCGCCCAGTAACGCTCCGTTAGATGAAAGGAAGAGCAAAGGAAGGAAAGAGTGAGGAGCCCACTGCCATTCCCAAGGGCATTAAGGGCTGCCTATCTCTGGGAATGAACTGCTATTCAGGCTGAGGTCACTTGCGGAGGGAGGGGAGAGGGCGGGCTGAGGCGGAGGGTGCTGTTGTCACAGAGGCAGGGCCCACAGTGGGCCTGGAAATCCGCTCGGAGTCGCTCATTAACACCCCTGCCCCCAACTCACACTCTGTGTGCAAGTTGCCCTCCCTACCTGCAGCCTCAGCACAACACTGACTTCACCAACCGACTCCTTCTCAGCCCCCCACCTTGGTCCCCACCACCATCTGGGCACCTAGTGCGTGCAGAAAACATGCAGGGAGGGAGGGGAGGGAAGAAACACCCACGTGACAGAAAATAAGCCCTGCTCCACCCCCACCGCTGTGAAGGTGCCAGAAGGGAAGGCAGAGGTGAGGTGGGGCTCTGGTGGCCTGGGCCCCTGTGGATGTGGGGTTTTGAGGAGGTGAGCACATAGCTAGTGACATGGCAGTAGGGGGGGGAGGTGGGGGTGGTGGAAACATTCCAGTCTTGGGGATAGGATACGAAGCATGTAAGTTTGACTGAAAGGATCCAAATTTGAGTGGGAAGAGGTAGCAAGAAGATTAAGTGTCCAGTGAGATCTGGCTGCTCAGATAACTGAGAGAGAAGAATGAGAGGGTTGCTGTCTTCTTTTATCTTTTTTTTTCCTTTTGATCAGAAAGTAGCTATGATGAATACTGGGTTTAAGAAAGCAGGTTAGAGAAAGCACAGGTAGGGATCATCTGGGGGAAAGACAGACAGGAAAGCTAAAGGTTGAGCCCCCAGTGAGTATCCCAGTGTGTGCTACTGAAGTCAAGATCAGCAGGTGGCCGGGAGAGGGGAGGGGAAGGATCAAATCCAAAAATTGCTACTGTCAGGATTCGGTGATCTAGGGGATGGAGGAGGTAACACCTTTGGACACTTCCTCCTCCGTGATCCACGAGGAATAAAATAAATGAGGAAGGGAACGGACAGGGCGTCTATTATGATCTAGACTTTCATTTGTATTTTTGTATTGTCTTATTTAGTTCATGGCCTCCCCTGAGGACAGGTATTAGCATCACCATCTTACAGGTGAGAGGCTTAACAATTCACCCCAGGTCATATCCGGAGCTAAAGAAGGGGTAAAAATAAAAACAAAAAAAAACCGACTGGCATTCATTATATGCTTAATCCATCCCAGGCACTATGCCAGGCACTTAACTCTGTATCCTCTCATTTCATGTCCCAACAGCAGGGATTTGCTTGCATTGTCCCCATTTTACAGATGGGAAAGCTGAGGTTTAGTGAAGGCCACTGGCCTATAGTCACAAAGGGAGGAAGTGATGGAAGGCGACCCTGGATGACTAACCAGTCCCTCTGTCTCCTCATCTGCAGGCTGTGTAGAACGCACTGACCTGTGACAGTTGTGACAGGTGAGAACAAGTTCACCTGGGGAGAAGCTGTGAGAACCCAGCCTGTCTGGGATTAACTGCCATGACTGTTAGTGTTTATTAACCTGTGACCCTGAACCTCCCCCGACAGTGAACTGCAAGGCTCCTGCCTGCCAATCCCCTCTCTGGGCTGGCCCGCAGGTGCGGGTGTGTTAGGGATGTCTGGGAAGAGGGACTCTGCTGTAGAAGGAACAAAACTCCCAAAGCGAGAAGAGGTGCCCCCACAACCCCCCGCCACCGATTACCGCTCGCAGCCCACCTTTTTGTCTTGCCCTTCTTTCTTGGTTTGGAGCACCTACGCAGGTCGGCCTCAAACTTCTGATTTCACCTAGAAAAAGAAGAGAGAATTACACCAGGAAATAAGATAATAAAACTCATCTTCACGCTTAAAATGTAGAGGGGGTGGTCTCTGGGTGACAGGCAGCCTGCGAAGGACATAGGAGTTTAACAGTTGTTTATTCTTTTTTTTTCCCCCTTTATTTTAGCGGGAGAGAGAAAGTGTGAGTTGGGGGAGGGGAAGGGCAGAGAGAAAGAGAGACAGAGGGAGAAAGGGGGGGAGGGGAGAGAGGGGGAGAAGGGGAGGGAGAGGAAGAAAGAACCCTCAAGCAGGCTCCACGTTCAGCACAGAGCCCTACTCAGGGCTCAATGCCACGACCCTGGGATCATGACCTGAGTCGAAGTCCAGAGTCTGACGCTCAACTGACTGAGCCACCCAGGTGCCCGTTTATTCTTTAATATAGAATAAAACTACATTCATTCTGAATAAACACAAGCACCCATGTGTGCTGGTCACAGCACACATGCCGTGCCTGTGACCATTCCTATGTCAGTCACAGGCACGGCAAATGGAAGGATACTGTCAAAGAAATACAGGTTATCATCTTAATACACGACACCTACGATAAAATGAAATGAATATTACAGTGGATAGTGATTTTATTTCAAGTTAAATCTTAAATTGACAGTGGATCTTTACTAAAAAAAAAAAAAATCATCCCTTGCCACAGTCCTGAGTGGTTCTGGTTTTGAGGGTCCTTTGAGTCAGACTCCTAGGATACTACTGAATTTCATACGGTCTGACTCTATGGTATGTCTGAACTCATCAGATGGGATAAATCGGGAGGGACCATCTAGCTCTGTGCCTGGCCCCAATCGTTATTAGCTTCACTTTCGTTTATTCCTTTATGTGTTTCTAGAAAGAAAGGTTATTCCGTGCCATCCATATAATTCCTGAGCAAACGTATGCGGTTATCAGCATAGCTGCTGCTGCTGCTAAAATAGATATTTAATCTTTAAATCCGACCTCTGTTCAACCTGATTCAGACACCAGGAAGAGTAGTATTTCAAAAGGTGTTTAAGATAATAGCCCCATTCTAAGCTTCCCCATCATTAGGCTCAAAGAAATCACTCTAGACCCCTAGGTTGGCAAATGAAAACAGAGAGAAGAAAGAAAAAGGGGAAAATAATACCATCAGATTTGAAACAGAAAACTTGTAACCTTCACTCACAAGGGAAAGGATTGTTTGGGTGGTGTTTTGTTCTTTCGTCGGATGCGCACACACATCATCTTGGGGCTCGGATCCCTCCTGCGGTTTCTACAGTTACGGAGGACAGGGTCCTTGCTGGTACTCTGTGGCCAGCCCCACCCACCGATGCCCACTACCATATAGGCATCCCCTGCGCCCCACAAGTCCTTCTGCCAATCCTGGGGACACACGTCTGCCGGGCCAGCTCCTCCTCCCACGGCCAAGAACTTATCCCAAGGCCAACCACAAATGCAACATAAGGCTCTTGAGTACAGGGCAAGGAGCTCAACCATTTTAGCTCCGCTGAACCATGTAACACCTGAGACATAACCAGAGACTCCCCCATGCCAGAAAGGTCATCGAAAAGAAGCAAGCAAAACCACAACATAGCCTCCGACTTTACCTCGGGCACCAGAACGGATTCCCACTCCTGGTACTGCTTTATGTAAAGTCACTCCCATGCCCAAAGCACGTTCAGTTTAGTAGGTGGAAAGCGTCCGATAACCCCTTTCGAGTTGAGGTGTAGATGAGTGGAAATGAGTCCAGCCTCACCCTTCGGGGACGTAGGACATTTAGCACAAGTACGTCTGAGCTCAGCCTGCTCCCACGATCATCATTTCGATCCAGCCAGTGTAGTAGCAGACTTTGGGGAGTGGGGGGCTTAAACTCTACGGAGGGGGAGGAAGGGTTCTCACTGCCTAGGCTCCCAGACCCAGCTACTCACTGAAATCACTCCCCCTGGCAGGTGGAAAATCATACTGAAGCCTGGGTCCCATTCCCAGCAGCTCCCACTACTCTAGAGTAAGGTCTGAGCCTTGGGTTAAAGAACATTTTAAGTTCCCCAGGAGAGTTTCACATGCATCAAAATGTAAGGATCATCTGGAGGGTCTGATAAAATTCAAATTCAACCAGCCTGAGAATCTGTGTTTCTAATAAGCTCCTGGGCGAGCCCAACGCTGGTGGTCCGACAGAACACGCTGAGTAAGCAGGGCTTAGCAGGGATGCCCTCAAACAGCCGCCTTGTGTCCCCTGCCCCAGAATCCTCAGGCAACTGACCCCACCCGGCCCCACTCTCCCCAAAGCTTCTCCAGCAGCCCCCAGACCTGCCCCGCTGACTCCTGGAGTGCCAGATGGAGAGAAGTCACTCGTATCTCAAGAGACAGCTGCCCCTCTGCCGCCCCCCCTCCCCCAATCCAGCTCTCAGCAATCTAACCCTGGCCGGAAATACACTCTAAGAAAAGCTGCATTCAACAGAATGGGCTCTTTCTGATGGTGGATGCAGCCTCTCTCTGCCCACGGCACACGGACTCAGCACCTGGCACACGGAGCCCTTGGGTGGCCGCATACCCGCCTCCCCGCTGCCTATCCATCCTCGGTGTAGACTCTGGCAGGACAGGGAGTGGATGGCGTTCCCTCGGAAGGTGGCCAATGGCAGCTGGCCACGCCCAGTACCAAACCTCTGAGCTTGCATCCAGGTTGCCCGCAGCCTGTCCCCAAAGGTCCCTCCCTTCCATCTGTACCCCCACCCTGACCAGGTCCTTCCAGACATCTCCAGGGATACCTTGAGCCCAACACTGGGCCCAACCACCTCCACCCAAGACGAAGGGGCTGGTCCTCCTGGGTGCCTGTGACTGAGCCACGGAAGGCTCAGCAGGTGAGGCCACCAGAAGCCATGAGCCTGGAACACATCCTGTCCCACACCAACCCCCCTCCTCGCCTCTCCACCCACGCTCGTCAGCCACGCAGACGACAGAAGGCCGCACGGTGAGGCAGACCAGAGCAGGGCAAGATCAAACACCGGCTTTGAACACTTTGTAAGCGAGAGGTCCCTCTTTGGCCAGAATAAGGGTTGCAGTTGAGGAGAATTCTTGGACCTTCTGAATGGGTCCCGTACCACAGAGGAGTGACTTCCACGAAACAGGCCAGGGAGCTGTCAGCAGGCCAAACCGCGGGGCCCCATTTCTAAGAAGGTACCAAGGCCGATACCCACCGAGCACAGGACGCAGGGCCCAGGAGCCCGATCCAGGAAAATGTTCTAATTTCTTATAAAATCAGAAGGAGTAAAATGAGTATAATATTAATGCCTAAATAACAATGAACCCAGCCTGGATGATATTTACCCTTAAAATCACTGCAGTCATAACATGTCATTTTTAGGAGCGCCAGGGTGGCCCAGTCCATTGAGCATCTGACTTCGGCTCAGGTCATGATCTCACAGTTCATGGGTTCGAGCCCCGCTTCGGGCTCTGTGCTGACAGCTGGAGCCTGGAGCCTGCTCCAGAGTCTGTTTCCGTCTCTCTGCCCCTCCCCTGCTCATGCTCACTCACTCTCTTTCTCTCTGTGTCTCAAAAATAAATAAAGGGGAGCGTGGGTGGCTCAAGTCAGTTGAGCATCCGACTTCATCCCAGGTCATGATCTCACGGCTCATGGGTTCGAGCCCTGGGTTGGACTCTGTGCTGACCGCTCAGAGCCTGGAGCCTACTTCGAATTCTGTCTCCCTCTCTCTCTGCCCCTCCCCTGCTCATGCTCTTGTTTGCTCTCTCTCTCTCAAAAATAAACATTAACAAATAAAGAAAGAAACTTAAAACATTTTTAAAAAAATAATAAAATGTCATTTTTTTTTCTTTTTGGGGAAGGGACTCATGAAGACAAAAGGGCCTAAGGTCACGAGCATCTCATCCACCTCAGAGTCTGACTTCCTTCCAAACTTGCCACCCTTTACGCAGACCCTTTGTCAAATGCCCTTTCTTGGAGACCCCTCCCCAACCCAAAGCCCTCCCCTCGAGTGCCTCCCAACAATGCCCCGCTCAGTCTGTCCCAAGCTCTTCTGTTCCCTGCAGGTGCGCCGGGCCTGCTTCCGTCCAGGCTGACGAGCCCCCGCCCCCGCTCTGTGGACGCGGCTCAGCCTGGCAGGCACCGCAGCACCTCTGAAGTCCCCCCCCACCCGACACGCTCAGCCCCCCACAGCATCAGCTCCGAGCACACCTCACACCCAGGCCTATAAAAGATAATCACACAGAGGCGCCTGGGTGGCTTAGTCGGTTGAGCGTCCGACTTTCGCTTAGGTCATGATCTCGCAGTTGGTGGGTTCGAGCCCCGCGTCGGGCTCTGTGCTGACTGCCAGCTCAGAGCCTGGAGTCTGTTTCAGTCTGTGATTCTCTCTCTCTCTGACCCTCCCCTGCTCACGCTTTCTCTCTCTCTCCTAGAAATAAATAAAACATTAAAAAAAAAAAAGATAATCACACAATCTGATCTGGCATATTAGGGCTGCAGAGCCATCTGATTCATACAATGAATTCGAGGGCTGTATCGGCAGGAAAAATTAACCTGGATCTTTATCAGGATTCACCCCCAGGTCAGGATTAGGGTCTATGTATCTTCTCTAATTTTCTTGCCGAGGTAGGGGGGAAAGGCGTCCTCTGCTGCTCACCCCCTTCACTTCCCCACCCCATCCAGGCTTGGCTTTTGGACAAGCAAGATGCCCAGTGATCTTCCCCACGAACGAAGTCACTCTAGCTAAAGTCCAATCAGGCACAACTGGAAGACACAGATAGATAAAGAGATAGAAAGATAGGTAGGTAGGTAGGTAGGTAGATACGCAGGCAGTTAATTTTTCACGAAAGAAAAGTTGGGACATCCCAGGCCCAAATCAAGGGCTTTATTAGTTGGCACTAACTCAGCTCAAGTAAACAAAAGAACTGACATGCCAGGTTGGCAATTTACCTCCTAATTATTCTGGCCCAACTGTGAAAGGTGTACTTGGAGAACAATCATAGATACATATTTCCCTAAATACACGGTG